AAAATCATAGTTACTTGTTTACGAAAATCGGTTTTGCGACGTCAATGACCCACCTCTATTCGTAAATACCTGTATACCCCTTGATTCGGTGATTTGACCACGCGACACGCCACGTTGGCAAATAGTTTTGTAGGAAGCTTTTTTATTTATATGCAGTTTAATATTTTTATTGGAAATAAGGCATAATGTCACTTTAAAATAAGCTTATTTTGATGTTTAGATTTTTAATTCGGAAATCGTTTTTAAAATACGAAACATTAATAAATTTTATTTATATAAAACGATTTCCGAAGTATAAATCAAAATGATATATTACACTTATTGTAAAGTAAAATTGTGACATATTCCCAATAAAAAACAATAAGCTGCCATTTAAATCCATTTCGCCCAAATTTCATTATCTTGGAGCATTGTTCAAATGCGAAAAAGACAACAGGTCAAATAAAACCAATAAGTTTGGCAACATTGAATTTCCCCTTTTTATTATATCCACTTCATATCCACTCATTTATGTTCGGTGATATAAAAGGCGGACACCTAATATATCTCTCTCTTTTTAAACAGTTGTTTCTCACTCCATCTCATGTAAGGTCCATACCGACCATAAACTTTTACCTATACTGTATATTATATATATATATATATATATATATATATATATATATATATATATATATATATTATATATATATATATATATATATATATTATATATATATATTATATATATATATATATATATATATATATATATATATATATATATCGCAAAAAGGAGTACGACCGTCTATCCAATATAAATAAGGATCACTCAGATGAGTGGTGGGTTCAATCGGTCAACTAGGTGGAGAAATAAAAGACAAAGTTGATACTACTTCATCTATTTTGAAGACGTTTCGCTATCGAATTCTGATAGCATCATCAGTTCATCTAAAAATTTATTTACATTAGAGTACCGCACATTCATGAAGAAGATGTTAAATAGTTACCTTAAAAAAGATATGTAGTTGTCAATGGTATTAAAAAGTCAGTACAAAAACTCAAATAAATGGACATCGAATGGTGATATTGTATAAACAATTAAATAACTAACAACATTAAGAGACTTAGTAAAAATTAGCAAAGCAACAGAACACGTGGTGTAATAAGCATATAATATTTAATATAATATTAACTAGTGAAGCAGAACTAAGAAAATCATTGATACACTTCCAACTAAGCAAAAAAAATTTTTATTTTAACTTCATCTTAACTTTTGGTTGCATTATTAAAGTTAACTACATTAAGATATAAAAAATATGTAAAAAAAGATATAAAGTTAAGTTACCACTGTTTGCTTGGCACCTGTTGCAGTTGAAATGGCGTTAAATTAAAAGGTACCGAGTCAATGACATGAAACAGACAGCCAGCCTTGAGGTCGAAGAATTAATTGACAGAACAGCAAGGTTAATAATACCAACCCACTAATTTGAGGGCGGTAAATTTGAAAAAGTTAACATGAGTTTAAATGATAACCCTCCCGTAAGAGACCAAACAATGAAAGAAATTAGCGATAACGCTAATCCCCTGCATCAACTAGTCTAGAACAAGTAGGCCAAATTCATTAAACACCACATTTAAAAGAGTGGTAAACGTCAACAGTGTAGTTGGTTATACATCTACAGGTGTTTGACGATAAGCACCTAATTTCCAAAAAGTCCAAGGTCCCACGCTTGGAACTTTAATTTGTAAAATATTCAAAGGTTGAATTGTATTTAAAATTAAAGTAAAAAACCAGAGGGTCAAATTAATCAATATATGAAAAACGACCAAATATGCAATGTGAGTTGCATAAGTAAGTTTAAGTTGATTAGTATTTATGTAATAATATATTTTTTTATTAAGTATTCATTATAGTAAGTTAAATTTATTTAAAAAAGAAAATGTGTTGAATTATACGACTCTAGAGACACATACATAACGAACTGATTGTAAAGCCTAATTCTGCAATATTAAAGCATGATATATTTGACTCAAGTTACTTATGTCTGTTCTCTTATTTAAAGCATTAGGATGTTTAAGAATGGAACACATTTCTAAGAACTGTCTTTTACTAAGATTGCGCTCAGTGCCAAGAACTTTAACTTCATTGAAATTCACCTTATGTTTGGTGTTAATTGCGTGTTGCGCTAACGCACATGTGTGCTTAGAAAGATTAATGTCACTTCGATGGGAAGTAAGACGTCCTTTTAGTGATCTTCCAGTTTGACCAATATAGCAAGCGTCACACTCAGCACAGGGTAAATAGTATATAGTGTTAACTTGTTCCAAAGTGGACAAGGGTGTTTTAGTTTTAGAAAACAAATTTCTAACAGTCTTAGCATTCTTAACTGCAATTTTAACTGGTATGTTATTATGTTTATATAGTTTAATAAGCTTCTCTGTAACTTGAGGAAAATAAGGCAGAGATGAATAATAGGTGGTAGGATTCTCAAGATCAGTATTAGGCAGAACAATGCTATTGACTGAATTATTAGAAATGGTTCTAAGTTGGTCACCATTGGGTATATCATCAAAAGAGGATCCATAACTTTGAGAGTATAGGTATTTATTTATGATGGAGGAAGGATATGAATTTTCAATTAGAATATGTCTCAATAACTTAAGGGATTCCCTTCGATTAATCGGATGTACATAAATTGACACATCCGATTAATCGAAGGGAATCCCTTAAGTTATTGAGACATATTCTAATTGAAAATTCATATCCTTCCTCCATCATAAATAAATACCTATACTCTCAAAGTTATGGATCCTCTTTTGATGATATACCCAATGGTGACCAACTTAGAACCATTTCTAATAATTCAGTCAATAGCATTGTTCTGCCTAATACTGATCTTGAGAATCCTACCACCTATTATTCATCTCTGCCTTATTTTCCTCAAGTTACAGAGAAGCTTATTAAACTATATAAACATAATAACATACCAGTTAAAATTGCAGTTAAGAATGCTAAGACTGTTAGAAATTTGTTTTCTAAAACTAAAACACCCTTGTCCACTTTGGAACAAGTTAACACTATATACTATTTACCCTGTGCTGAGTGTGACGCTTGCTATATTGGTCAAACTGGAAGATCACTAAAAGGACGTCTTACTTCCCATCGAAGTGACATTAATCTTTCTAAGCACACATGTGCGTTAGCGCAACACGCAATTAACACCAAACATAAGGTGAATTTCAATGAAGTTAAAGTTCTTGGCACTGAGCGCAATCTTAGTAAAAGACAGTTCTTAGAAATGTGTTCCATTCTTAAACATCCTAATGCTTTAAATAAGAGAACAGACATAAGTAACTTGAGTCAAATATATCATGCTTTAATATTGCAGAATTAGGCTTTACAATCAGTTCGTTATGTATGTGTCTCTAGAGTCGTATAATTCAACACATTTTCTTTTTTAAATAAATTTAACTTACTATAATGAATACTTAATAAAAAAATATATTATTACATAAATACTAATCAACTTAAACTTACTTATGCAACTCACATTGCATATTTGGTCGTTTTTCATATATTGATTAATTTGACCCTCTGGTTTTTTACTTTAATTTTAAATACAATTCAACCTTTGAATATTTTACAAATTAAAGTTCCAAGCGTGGGACCTTGGACTTTTTGGAAATTAGGTGCTTATCGTCAAACACCTGTAGATGTATAACCAATTACACTGTTGACGTTTACCACTCTTTTAAATATGGAGTTTAATGAATTTGGCCTACTTGTTTGTTCTAGACTAGTTGATGCAGGGGATTAGCGTTATCGCTAATTTCTTTCATTGTTTGGTCTCTTACGGGAGGGTTATCATTTAAACTCATGTTAACTTTTTCAAATTTACCGCCCTCAAATTAGTGGGTTGGTATTATTAACCTTGCTGTTCTGTCGATTAATTCTTCGACCTCAAGGCTGGCTGTCTGTTTCATGTCATTGACTCGGTACCTTTTAATTTAACGCCATTTCAACTGCAACAGGTGCCAAGCAAACAGTGGTAACTTAACTTTATATCTTTTTTTTACATATTTTTTATATCTTAATGTAGTTAACTTTAATAATGCTACCAAAAGTTAAGATGAAGTTAAAATAAAATTTTTTTTTGCTTAGTTGGAAGTGAATCAATGATTTTCTTAGTTCTGCTTCACTAGTTAATATTATATTAAATATTATATGCTTATTACACCACGTGTTCTGTTGCTTTGCTAATTTTTACTAAGTCTCTTAATGTTGTTAGTTATTTAATTGTTTATACAATATCACCATTCGATGTCCATTTATTTGAGTTTTTGTACTGACTTTTTAATACCATTGACAACTACATATCTTTTTTAAGGTAACTATTTAACATCTTCTTCATGAATGTGCGGTACTCTAATGTAAATAAATTTTTAGATGAACTGATGATGCTATCAGAATTCGATAGCGAAACGTCTTCAAAATAGATGAAGTAGTATCAACTTTGTCTTTTATTTCTCCACCTAGTTGACCGATTGAACCCACCACTCATCTGAGTGATCCTTATTTATATATATATATATATATATTATATATATATATATATATATATATATATATATTATATGCATTGTACCAACGAATGTTCCTTATCACGACGATTCCCAGGGTATCAGGTTTCCACTTCCAACAACCTGAGCCGATAAGGATTCTTGTACATACAGTACCAGTAGAGTCAGCGGGACCAAGCGTTTTGCACTTTCCCACCGAGTCAGCAATTACAAATATTATAAAGCTCTTTATTTTCGTTCATTATATTGTTACATTTCATTCATTATATTTTTATAGTTCATTACATTTAAGTATTTGTAACACGCAACTTTGCTAATTGTATTTTTGTAATAAATTAATTTTTTAAAAAGTCAAAAAGGTGTTTCGTGATATAATATATATATATATATATATATATATATATATATATATATATATATATATAAACTGTTCTTACCCTAAAGGAGTTTTATTTGCAAATTGTTGGAACCTCAACTCAAAAGCTTGTCCAATAGTTGATATAACATCTTTTGCTAAACCTCCTCCACATTCCAATACATAACAAGCTCGCATCTCATTTGGATCTTTGGCTATATATCCTACAAAGTCTAGTGCATCCTAAAATACAAAATATAAAACTGAACACAGATATCAAAAGAATGTGAAATCATTAAATAGTTCACTGTTTAATTTCGAAATAATCTTAAATTATTACTTGATAAATATCAACATTCTAAATGAGTGGATGCATTTGAAAATGATATGATGGTTAAATCTACTACTAGTTACAACTATGTAGTATGTTTTATATATTTGTATAAACATCAATTTCAATAAAAAAAAGTACTTACTTTTTCTCCTCCAGATGCAAATGATATTCTAGGCATTTCATGACAAGCTATTATTTGATTAGTTTCTATACAGGTAAGTGTTAAATTTATGCTAGACACGTTTAAGTTAACATACATGCCAGCATAATTCAAATTAGGCACTTCTACTATTGCTTTTAAGACCTTCTTATCAACTTTTCGTTTCTTATCTATATTTTTTAACTTTGAGTATTCACAAACTCTGTTGATACATTCCCTGGAATTGGAAAATAATTAATATATGTATATTATATGATATATTTATACTTTATATAATATAATATATATATATATATATTATATATATATATATATATATATATGGATATTCCAAAAAACTTATTTAGAAAATATATAGGCAATGATATTCTCCATACCTGGAAAATATGTGGAATTCTAGAGGGTGATTAATAACTACGTAGTATAGGAAACAAACAATTTTTAACGGGACACCCTATATATTTTTTCATATTTAATTCGTCTCATAATTTTTGTTCTTATAATATTAGGCTTTGCATTACTATACAGAATATTTAACAAGTTATGACCATTTTTATTTCGAAGTTCCTATGCAATCAACACTATGTATATAAAGAAGTAATCCATATACAATTATTTATTTTATATAATACGGCAAACAATATATTGTAGCTTTTAAATTAAGTTTAATTGAAATCATTGAAAAAAATTTGTATACAGGGTGAACTACAAAACAAAATTACGATTTCTCAATTTTTTTAAATGGATCACCCTATATTTTATTTTTTAGAAATATTGTATTTATAATACTCTTTCATTTTTATATAGCATTCCCTATACCTAAACTCATTACTTTCTGATATATTTTTAGTTTTCTTCAAATTTCGGAAATACATTCAATTTTTGTAAGTAGAAATAAGTATTGAGCATTGAGTGAATATAATCAAATCATTTTATTCAAAAAGTAACTAACAAAAAATATAAACCATAAAAATATGCAATTAATGTATCAATAAATGTGATATTATCATATTTCCTTAACGGAAATATATTAAATATCATATTTCCTTAACGGAATACAAGATTCCTAAAATTCCTATAAGATATGTTTTGTATAATAAAATAATAACATGTGTGGGGTATGGTATAGCCCCCATCGGACGCGTCGCCGGGTGGCGGATAGGGGAATGCCTCCCAGATATGGGTGGTACCGGGGAAATTAAATACGCGGCGTGGACCAAAACTAGCAAAACAGTAGCGTCTGACCTAGAGTGGGTGACTGATACAGAACTCACCAATTCGTCTGGCAAGCGAGGTGTTTTAATGCCAAAAAACCCTCTTCAGGAAATATGTCGAATTATGAAACAAACGGAATAGGACCCCAGGTGGGTAGTTACTAACTCGGAATCCCACACCGGGAAACCGGTTCGTCTCAAGGATTCTGGGGGAGGCAAATATTCAACAAACTAAATGTAGGAACGTATAACATCACATCCATGAACGAAGATACTAAAATCACGAACTAGAGGAAGAACTGACTAAAATACAGTGGGATATTATCGGCATATCCGAAGTACGAAGAAAATGAGAACAAAAAATACAGCTAAAATCAGGAAATTTGCTATACTATATAAAGGTAATGAAGAAAACACCAACAATGGAGTAGGATTTATATAATAAATAAAAAAGTAGTTAAATATATACAATCTACCAAGGGCATATCAGATAGAGTAGCATACACGACGCTTAAATTAAAAAGAACGTCCTTAAAACTCATACAGGTGTGCGCTCCAACAAGTACCTACAGCGATGAAGAGATTGAACATTTCTACGAAGACATAACAACAGCTATGGAAGAAAAGAAATCAAAATTAACGCTAATAATCAGGGACTTCAATGCCAAAATAGGAGAACAACTAAATAAAGAAGAAGACAAAGTAGGACACCATGGATACGGCAAAAGAAATAATAGAGGACACACATTGACAACGAAATTGATAATATCCTTTCAACGCAAAAATCCATGATTAAAGACGTAACAGCCCTAAATAGCTTGTCAACTTTTAGCGACCATAGACTAGTCCGAGCCAAGCTGATCATTGACAGTAGATTTGAAACAAGAAAGAAAATGGAAAATAATCAGAAATTAGACATGGAAAATCTAAAACAAGAAAAACAGACGTACGAAGAGAGAATAAAGGAAATATTGCCGACCAAGGAAGATATAGAACACAAACATATCGATGAAATAAACATGATATTTACTGAAACTCTAATGAACCTGGGAAAAGAAATAGCACAGACAACAACAAAAAAAGAAAGTTTCATATCCCAGGAAACAAAGATTCTTATGACACAAGAAGATCATTGAAAGATCTGAAAAACTATAGGCCTATAACGCTACTTAATGTAATGTACAAACTGTTAAATAAAATACTAACAAATAGATTAACAACTAAGTTAGATAAATACCAGTCAAGAGAGCAAGCCGGTTTTAGAAAAGGATTCAGTACAAGCGACCATCTACTCACGGTGAAAATATTAATTGAAAAGGCCAACGAATATGAAATCCCAATGTATATAGCATTTGTAGCCTTTGAAAAAGCATTCGATAAGGTGGAACATTGGGCAGTAAAGAACTCTTTACAAAATGGGAGAATAGACTATGAATATACGGACTTAATTTCCAATATATATGATAAAGCAACAACATCCATTAAAATAGTTGACCAAACGAGCCTATTACGATACGGCGAGGAGTCAGACAGGATGACACTATATCACCCAAACTATTCAATCAAGCTTTGAAAAACATCATGAGGAAATTGCAATGGGAAAAACGGGGTATTAACATAAATGACCAATACTTGAATCACTTGAGATATGCCGACGACATTGTATTAATAACATATAAAAGGGAAGAATTACAAAATATGATGGATGAATTAAATAGAGAATCAACAAAAATAGGTCTACAAATGAATTATAATAAAACGAAAATTATGACCAACCAACCAGAAGAATTACTAATTACAATTGCACAAACAACTATAGAACAAGTAAAAGAATATGTATGTTTGGGACAACTAGTTAAATTAAATAAAGAAAATCAGACCGGAGAAATAAAGAGAAGGATACGGTTGGCTTGGGTATCCTTCGGAAAACTTTCCTATATACTAAAAATAGAAAATACCCCCAATATTTAAAAACAAGAGTATTCAACCAATGTATACTTCCGGTTCGCACCTACGGTTCTCAAACTTGAACGTTTACAAAGGAAAACATGGAAAAATAGCCAAGACCCAAAGAGCCATGGAAAGGCATTTGCCTTTCCATGGCTCTTTGGCTGAACATCAGGTTATCAGACAAGAAAAGAAATATTGGATCCGCAACAAAACAAAAGTGACCGATGTATCAACGCAGATAGCAAAGCTTAAGTGCATATATATGTATATATATATATATATATATATATATAATATATATATATATATATATATATATAATATATATATATATATATATATGTACATATACAGTGCTTTTCAGATAAAACTATCCACCTTAAATAACTTTTGAACCTCTACTTTTTTGGAAAAACGCAAAAACACTTTAATTAATATCTGAAGGGGGAGGCATAATATCACATTTAAGGTTGCTGGAAAATGCACCCTCTCACCCATGTAATATCAACCCTTAAATATCAGAATTACGGATAAAATAATATTATAATTCATACTCGTGTAACATTTTGTTTATGTAAACATTTGGTAATTTAAATCGAGGACATTCATATATAACATACTCTAATTAAAACAGCCAGTCAGCACTCTAGTAAAATTGCACGACTTACTTGTGGTGTAGGTCAGGGAATACACTTGACACGAATAGTAACAAGAGCGCTGAGCCAGCAAGGCCGAGGCTATTAAAAGCAACACCAATCATTCTCGGGGATCTTAATTATTATACCGACACTATGGCCAGTAAGGCATCATCTATCGTCATCGTCAATTAAGTACTGATATAGTTAAGTTTATAATAGTGAAATATTGTACAAAGCAGTGATTAATAAATGGGCAACTAGTTACAACAATATTATTTACTACCCAAGATAATATTTACCATATGGCGATCCTGAATTGGTAGAAACCAGGAGTCTTCGTCCCAGAAGTCTAGAATGGGAGGAAAGTCATCCAAGGAAGACCTACAGGAGAATGGAGTCGTCAACAGCAACTTCATAGTAAAAAGTAAAGATGTCAGACCAGGCGAAGAAATAAAGATACTCTTATACATCATTACCACGGTCCTGATACTAAAATTGGTATGGTCATTATGGAAGGCGCATAGGAGAAATATGAAGCGGAGCATACACCGGGACATGGCAGCGAGATCGACAACAAATTTAGACGTTTAAGTGGTGAGTCTGCATATTATCTATTTTTTTTTGCACTTCCTCACACGTATATTAACATAGCAGTTACTTTATTAAATATTAATTATTATTTTTATGACTTTTTGAAGATAATTTCACTTATATGGATAATTTTTAATTTATTAATTTATTGAATTTATTTAAATTTATTGAATTTATTGAATTTTAATGGGTATTTGACGATATTATATTTTTTTGCTACATAATTCTCGAATTTTATCGTACTACATAAGACTATCGGATTTGTGTTTTCGTTCTTAAATGCCTAGCAGTTGGGAAGATTTTGTCAAAACACTTGAAGCCATTACGCAGGATATAACTAAGCAGAGCAAAAGAGTGTTAAAAAAGGAGATACCTAAAAGCAAGGAGGTAAAAACTGAGATAACGACACAAATAATTGAAGCTTATAATAGATTGGTACACCTCATAACCAAAAATTGGGATGCCCTAACTGATATCCAGAGAGAGACTTGTAAGAGATACTTCAACAAAAACCGAGACAAAGTCATTCGATCATTCCAAGCTATAAATTCCAGAATATTAGTTCCTAATCTGATAAATCAACAGATTGATAAGAATATAGAAGAAGATCAAAGTGACACGGAACAAGAAGAAACCATGGCGCTTAGCATCAATGAATTTCTAAACATTGCAAGCAAAATCTTACCGAGTGAATTTGACGGAACCACAGGCAAACTACAATCCTTCGTGGACGCACTCGAACTTTTACAGAAAATAGCAGTAGGACATGAGGAAACAGCGATAAGCCTCATAAAAACAAGGTTAACAAATAAAGCCAGAAACTT